ATTGGACAAACAGTGCTGTAATTAATATAGTTTCTGTGTGATTATTTGGGTCAGAGAAGTCAGGAAATGAATAAGCAGTTTCCAAGAAGGATATCCATACACCTGTACTCTAAAGTAGTTGAATACTAAAAGGAACACTAAATACAAGGGAATGAGGGTTACTCCCTGACAAACTTGTCAAAAACAAGTGTAACCTTGAAGACCATAACCCTATATCTAGTAGATATATTCTTTAAAACTGAGTATGGAAAAAAGAAAAAAGCTATCAACAGCCTAGACAAGAAATGTTGATTCTCAAAGTGGAAGAAAAAAAGTACACAGAGGTAGGCAGAAAGATGGAAGCAGCAGTAACACTGTGAGGTTCTCAATTACACACAGGGTTGTACAATATTACTGGAAAAGAATTTATGAGAAGCTAAAGATTTATTTTGAAAGCAGAATGATCATTTAATCTTTTAAAAGAAGTATATGAGGAAGCTACTAGTAGAAAGAGTAGATGAAATCCTAAAAACACTGAATCCCAAATAAAGGAAAAATAACAAAAGCTTTGCTATTTTGTTTCTGTTTTGAACAAAACAAGTAGTCAAGTAGAATCACAGATGCAAATCCAGTCACATTGATGACATCATATGGATGCTTATGTTAAAGAGATTTCATACTGGTTACAAAGTAAGACTTTGACAGGGTAGATGGCTCAGTTGGTCCAGTGCTTGCTGTTCAAGTGTAAAAAATCTTAGTTTGGATTTCCAGAACCCAGGTTAGGCCAATATGGTTGTACTATTTACAGCCCCTGTGGGAGGGAATAGGAGACTTCCTGGGAGCTTCTGGGCTAGCCAGCTTGGCCTACTATAGTAGCCAACAAGACACTTGTCTCAAGGCCTGAATTACAATGAGCAGAGGAAGTAGTTTCTGGAGAAGAGCAACCACCATAGTCAGAGAGAAGTTCAACTCTATATGCTCATATGGGAAAAGGAGAAAGGCTTAAGATTAGTCACCCAAGATTCCACCTTAAGAAGACGGAAAAGGAGCGTGTCCCAAATGATAAATAAATGTTACTAGAGATTGAAAAAAAAAAAAACCAATGCTGCTGAGAAGTAGCAGCATCAAGAAAGGAGAGAACGGGTTCTGGAATGGCAGTGTACTACCAACTGCCGACATCGACAAGAGCAGGTTAGTCGAAAGCCGTGCAGAATGTAGTTGGGAGTGAATGCATGTGTAGAGACTACAGCATATTTAAGATGTGTAGACATGAATAGCAGAGAAACAGATGGTGGGTGATTAAACAAGACATGTGGTCAAGCCAGGCTTGCATTTTACGATGAGATTTCTTAGGACACTGAAGAAATGATCCACTATAGAAAAGATGGGCCGGAGCAGAAAAGCAATGGAGTAAACCCCCTGAGAAGGCAAGTGGGTGAGAGAAGACTTTGTTAGAAACAGGACACAAGTAATTTAACTTAATACAAAAAGACCTGATTGAGCAGTGAAAATCTTTGTAAGAAGTTAGGTCACACTATTTTGGTTTAATGGATTACTTATAATTTTTACTTTAATGGTTCAGTTATGAAGTTTTGACTACCATTATCAATCTCACTGTTTACTACACTGGCCCAGTGACGGCTTTCCTGATCTCAGAATGGGTGTGAAAACTTTTGTTCTAGTCTGAAATGGCCATGGATTGCTAGGTTTCTTCTGTTTTCCTTCTTGCCTCTTCTCTCACAGAAATCTACATGATATCTGCATTATGGCTAAAATCTTCCAGAGTAAGCACTTCAAATAGAAGTTTTTAAGCTCAATTAAAGTTTTAAGAGGACACCAATATTCAAAAGCATCAAATAATATGAATATTAACCTAGTAAATAGCAATAAATTCAAAAGCTCGGGCTAATGACAGCTATACAGAAAGCACATGGGGAGCTGGCGAATGGTTCCGATTAAAGAGCTTGCCAAGCAAACATGAGGACTTGAGTTTGATTCCAGCACCCATGTAAAACGCTTACCATGTGATGTGTGCTTGTAATCCCAGTGCTGAGAGGTAGAGACAGGGATTCCTGGGCGTGGTGGTGAGCCAGCCTAGCCTAACTGGGAAGCTCCAGGCCAATGACAGGCGCTATCTCAAAAACCAAAGTGCACAATGTCTAAGGAACAATGCCTGAATTTGACTACTGGCGTCTACAGACACACGTGCACAATTACATATAGTAAAATGATAGCGCTTATGTCTGATAATGCCTTTGGGTTTAATGCTGAAGACTATAAAACTGTTCTGGTAGTTTACATCTTCTAATGTCTGCTATTTAGAGTAAGCAACAGAATTGAACATTTCTAAGTTTAAGAGAAAAATAATTAAATACTTTACCAATAAAAAGGACACTCAACTAGATTGAAAAACAAAATGATGTTATTTTGAAACACAGTTAAAGATTAAAGAATTCTGGCAATTTAATTATATATAGGAGCAAATAGACAAAATAGTCAATTTCAGATATAAAAATATGAATTTAAGCAAACACTTAATTTTTCATTAAAGAGATACTTTTAAGTAAATTATAATGGTGCTTTTTAGCACATGGAGAAATGGATATACTTCAGTCATTTTTGAGGAATTTTAATAGCACAAAACCTATTCTGTGTGTGTGTATGTGTTCATTTGCATGTGCACGTGTGTGTAGACAGGAGGCCTACATTTCTCTCTACCTTATTTTTTGAGTCATGATCTCACCAAACATGGAGCTCACCAATTTGATTAGGTTGGCTCAACAGCAATGCCAGCGATCTTCCCGCACTATGATTTCAACTGGGTACTACCCTGCCCGGCTCTACGTGGGTGCTGGACGTTCAAACTCAGGTGTTGAAGCTTACACTTTACTAACTGAGCAATTTCTCTAGCCACAAAACTATTTCTATAATTCAGCCATTATAAATTTTGGATTTTACTTGTAGAAATTTATTTTATGAAAATAATTATAGGATTAATAGAGACAGAGGTCCAATGATAGAAATGTACTGCTAAGAATGTGTTACAAGTAATCTAACAGAATTCCCAGCACCACGTCAGGATTCTCCAAGAGACTGACTCCTAAAACATTATAGCCCTTGATTGCCCTCCCAGTCCCAAGGTGGAGTGTGCCTATTGCTAAAGCACGGCCCAGATGCCTCTCAGCTGGAACTGACATTATAGCCCTTGACTGTCCTCCCAGTCCCAAGGTGGAGTGTGCCTATTGCTAAAGCACGGCCCAGATGCCTCTCAGCTGGAACTGACATTATAGCCCTTGACTGTCCTCCCAGTCCCAAGGTGGAGTGTGCCTATTGCTAAAGCACGGCCCAGATGCCTCTCAGCTGGAACTGACCTGAAGAACTGCTCTGATGACTAGCTTTCAGAGAACCAGAACGTTTCATGCAAGCTTCCAAAAATAGGGGGAAAGCCAACAGTTATACCCAGCTATGATGCCTATGAACCACAACAATGACGAGCACGGCACGGTAACTTTAAGGGTGCAGTAGTGGCACACACACCTTGACGATAACCAGCAACTCGCTAATCAGACTTAAGACCCACTCAACAAGAAGAAAATCACACCTGGCACTGGAAACCTAGCCAATTAACCATGGCTAGTGAAGTCATGGGTCTTGGAGAAGAACCTACATCCTCCACTTTACTAAACCAGGATAATCCTTAAGTATATTCTAAATGTTTATCTTTATACTCTAAGAGTGTAAGTGCAGTCCTTACTTTTTACCAAGAAAGCTTCTCTTTGCAATAGAATGAGACCAACACAGAAAACAACAAGCAAAAGTGCAGAGTTATGGAGTCCTGCCCCAATGGATACACCTACCAAACAACCCTCAGCTAATGCTCAGAGAACATTGCAGAAGGAGCAGGAAGGTGTACGAGCCAGAGGATCAGGGAGTTTGCTATAAGATAGCATCTCTTAGTAAGAATGTCAGGAGCTACACCCATGTCTTAGCAGTAAGACTGCTAAAGCATGAATAAGAACAACAATAACAGAGATGCCAAAGCAGAAGGGAAGGCCTATTAGGCCTCAGTCTTACACAAAAAACTACAGGCAACTAAAGAATACTGAGAGTGAGACAAGCAGTCTTCACCAGGGAGCAGCACATCAACTGGTGATTCAATACCATGAGGTTAGCCCTGAAACATACATACAAGTAGCAGACAAGACTGGGCAGGCTATGTTAAGGAATATATATATTAATTGTTGCATGCTAACAACAATTAATGGAAAAAGAGACTTTAAGTTATACTTATTTTTAATAATATCAAAACAATCAAAACAATATCTGTAATAATGCAATATACACAATAAAAAGAGCTACACAAACAATATACATATTTTGGTAGGTATACATATGTAAAATTACATATAAGTAAAGTAGGCAAATGAATTTACAAATCCAGAGGAGAGCTCTGCAGGGAAGCAGGCGGAGGAGCTAAGAGAATCCAGATGGAAGCTGTATCCACTCTGCACCACACAGTCCTACTTGTAGAATGAAGCTGCCCATAAAAGAGTGAAAACCACAAGAGCCAGAGTGGTGTGCAGGAGTCCAAGGAACTATCAGGAAAGGACTTACACCTCTCCTCTGGCCCGTCTCAACAGAATCACAGGAATATCAAGGTTGCTGAAACAGCCACATCCTTTAGCTGGAGGTATTGGCATTTGCTGTGGGACCTGATGTGTGGTAACATTGAATGGTAGCTGAGAAAACAATTCCTCAGACGAGCAACTCGGAGTGCCTGCTATAAACTCTGTCTTATTCCCCAAGTAGGATATTTACTGAGAGAGAAGCAGAGCTCCAAAGCTATTTGTTAGTACCACTAAAAAGAGCCTTAGCCAATATCCAGTAAAGTCGGGACATTCTGTTGCTTTTGTTTGTACTTGTTTGGGTTTTGAATCAATTAAAAGCCAGCACTGGCCATCTGGCCATCAGGCAATGCTATCAGTGGAGAGACAGCATCATCCAAATGAGACCACACTTACCTTTGGGTTGTTTGCATCAAATAGACCAGTTGAAAGCCCAATCAGTAAGGAGTTCTTGGTTTTAGTTTTTGGTGGTGAATCAGAGCGAGATAGGAGTGAAACTGGTTCTGACTGAACTAGGCTCAAGTGCTCAGACTGAGCCACTTTCTGGAAGAATGGTTCTGGCGGTACTGACTTCTCTACGTCACATCTAGACTGCTGAGAATCATTTACTGCAGGCTCTGTGGAATAAAAAGAGATTATATCATAAATTTATAGAATAGCACTTAAAATTCTAAAAATATCAGCAAGTATCATGTAATATTTAACACGCATCCCATCCTAAGATCTGCAGAGATGGCTTGGTGCTAAAACACTTGCTGTTCTTGCAGGAGACCTGGGTGTGGCTCCTAGGACCCCCCATAGCAGCTCGCAACCATCTTTAACTGCAGTTCCAGCGAATCTGACATGCTATACTCTTCTGGCTTCTGTGGGTACCATGACCAAATGTGGAACAAATACTACTTATATGCAGACAAAACACTCAGCCATATAAAATATTTTTTAATTAAAAATGAATTAAAAAAACTCATACCAGGTAAACAAAATCAAAGTATACATATAAGTATACTGTATACTATCTTATAAATAACCAATAAGGAGATATAACATTTTAATTTCATATATATTTTTATTATATTGGAAGTTTTAAAATAAAGAAATCTAAAGAAATGTAAAAATACAGTTTAGAAAATCAATTTTTCTGTTCGTTTTCATAGAGGAGAAAAATTGTTTATATTGTGTTATATTTTGACCAACAGTATTTTAAAAAGATACCAGTTTACTCAGTGTCTTTGGTATATTGCTTTGTTTTAGCAGCAAATTCTTTTCATTTTCAACAATACAACTTACCAAAAAGTTAACTGCTTATATTACCACAATCCTGGGCCAGCTAATACAGGTTCCTAGTCTCTAGGCCTATTTTAAAATAGAATTATGACGACTTATAATGGTGCCCAAATGAGACAGGCTGGTGTTAAGAAGCCGTCCAGAAAGAGTTAGACTCCTACAGTGGCACTTACCTATATGATCCTCACGAGACTGCTCCACATTCCCTGGAATGCTGCCTTCACAAACCTCACTCTGCTGCTCAGCAACCTTATCTTCCAACCTGCCACAGACAGACAAACCAAACAAAATAAATACCATACAGTTTTATTAGAAATAAAAGCCCTTTTCTATAAGGAAAATGAAATCCACATCTACTAGCATCCTGAACTCCCTTGTCCAAATGATTTTCTAATCTTAATATAATACTTCCTCTTTAAGTACAGTGTTTTCTACTTTGAGCAAAGTGAAACTCTCACCAATCACTAATCATTAGTTAATATTCATTCATTCTGAAAGTTTACATTGGTCAAAACTCTAAAGAATGACTAAATTACAAATGCAATTCATCTAAATATTACATCTCTGCTTCAAAAAACCACCTGATTTTGCAAAAATATTTTATGTAAAACATTACTCATTGCAGCATCACAATACATAGCATGAACATTCATCAAGTAGTAGGTTATTGAGTTTTCTTATATCCATATAATAGAATATAAAATAGAGAACTTTTGATTAATGTGAGAAAATTTCCCTGACTATAAACTTTTTTAAAAAGTATTTGTTCTATATGTATGTGTATGTGTGTGTGCATCACATGTGCACAGGAATCCTTGAAGGAGGGAAGAGGAATCAGATACCCTGAAACTAGAGTTACAGGGTCTATGAGCTGGGAGCCAATCCCAGGTAAGCAAGAGCAGTAAGCCCTTTTTAACTGCTGACTACCGACTTTATAAACAAAGTGAGCATGGAGTTTGCTCAGTGGTTAAGAGGGAGCACTGACTGTTCTTTCATAAGGACCAGCGTTTGGATCCCAGCACACACACGGATCAGCTCATAAATACCACAGGTCCAGCTCCAAGGGATTCAGTTCGCCTTCCTGCCTCCATATTTTATCTGTGCACACACATGTGAGCATACACTTTCAAAGACACCCAAACAAATTTTAAAAAACTGAAAAGGTTTTAATAAGCATTGTATATATTAGCAACTGTATTTGAAAAGACTATGTATTTTGTTTATATATAATAAAAATTATCTGCATAGAAATATCAGAAATTGGTTGAATGGGAATAAAGACTGGCAAGACATTTACTGCTTATCTTCATATAGTTTTTTATTTCTGTCCCATGCTAATATCTATTAAGAAATCAAATTACTTTATAGGGAGTACTACAATATGAAGTTATTAAACTACAACATTAGTTAATACAGCATTACTTATTAAAGAGCTTACCAAAGGGACCTGGCTTTGAAAAGTAAAGAAAAAGACAACATACTCAGTTTCCTTAGCTTCTTCTTCCTCACTAATCCACACATCATTAACAGCACGTGGCAAACTCCCATCTGTGTCTGTGCTACTTGGCTCTTGGAGAACTTCTGTCTCCAAATCATCAGGTTCTGCAAAGCAAGATCAGGAGATGTCAGAGTAAAGTTTGCTGAGAATGGGCTGACTAACTTTCTGTAAGTTATTATTTCAGTTAGTTTAACTAAAGAAAATCAACTGTTTAAAGCTTTCTGGGCTAGTTCTGTAGCACAGTCATTCCTAAAATGAAAGACTAGGCCTTTCATTTTTTTGGTATAACAAAAATACTTGAGTACTGTGCACAATATTCATTATTATGTCAGGTATATGCCGGGCGGTGGTGGTGCACGCCTTTAATCCCAGCACTCGGGAGGCAGAGGCAGGCGGATCTCTATGAGTTCGAGGCCAGCCTAGTCTACAAGAGCTAGTTCCAGGACAGGCTCCAAAGCTACAGAGACACCCTGTCTCAAAAAAAAAAAAGATATAAGCCTTATTAAAACTACAGCAATATGTAAATCAGCATAAAGGAATCAAAACTAAAGACTAAAGATACCTGTTGTTACAAGTATGAGAAAATAGACTGTATTATTAATATTTAGTAAAAAAACTTTAATCTTGGAAATCTTCCAACAACCACAAAAGAAAACCAATATGATTACCTGGACTTTTACAATGGCCTTGAGAAGAACTGAAGTATGCTAAATCAATTTTCTTATACCCTCAAATAATTAATAGCTAGGAAACTATTTTTCTGGCCGTCTTTAAAGAGAGTCTATTTGTCCATTTATATGTGCATGTATATGTCTGCATGAATGTATGCACATATGCAAGGTATGTGTAAATATATGTAGAGGCTAGAAAAGAGCCAGATCCCTTCGAGCTGAAGTTATGAGTGCTTGCAGAATGGCGGACATGGGGTGCTGGGATTCACACTCCGGTCTGCATAACTGTGCAGCAAGTGCTTTGCTGCTGAGTCCTCTCTTCAGTCCCACTGAGACTTCTATTTTTTCCTGTCTGAGATCATATACTTTCTTACTTAATTCAACACCATGCACACTTTTTCATGGACTTCAGATATGCTTTTCTTGTCTATTTACAAATTTCTAATGATTTGCCCTATTGTGAAAGACAAGAGACAGGCAAATACTAATAATTTTGATCTGTTGCTCACATGAATGTTTGGGTCATCCATACAAGGTATGTACTAAGATAGAAGAGCCTTTTTATTTTGTCTTTTAATGTGTAATTCTGTTCTTGTTAAATGGAGGGAGAAAAGGAGATGGCAATGGGTTGGTTGTTTCTAGAAAGAAGCTGACACAAGTTTTCCTTTGGGAGAGTTTTATCGGCCTTAAGATAACAGAGACGCAGTCACTCTGAGGCAGGACAGCGCCCTCTAACAGACAACAGGAAGGAGAAGGCCTGATGGAGGAGAGCTTTCCCTTAGAACCCACAAAGGAGTTTTAGTAATAGGCACAGCTTAAAGAACGAGAGAGACAGCTGTCATGGACAGGATGATGAGAGGGGATCAACTTTAGAGAAATTCTACAAACACAGGAAAATATATGACCTTTATATCCTTCCAGGGGCTGGTATGAAGCTCCATATCACATGATTTTGTTCAACACAGCCCACTGACAGGGAGCATGAAGGAGCCAGCTACAGTGTAGCACTATAAATCAGGGGCGGTAGACCCACAGCACAGATAGCTTCTTAACTCTATGTCCCAGAGAAAGAGCTGAGGGGAGCAAGGCCTGGCTTTTCCAGGCTGTGGGATGGACTTCTTAGAGAGATCAGCTTCTTAAAGGGGTAGGTTCACTATTTAACAATTCCCTAGTGATCATCAGCTCTATCAAAACTAACCTTCTATCCTCTAAACTCAATTTGTGACCGGTTTCCATATAGCCTAAAATATTTACTCCACAACTCTGTAGGAAAAGTGAAGCTTGCCAACCTCAAAACTCTCTACTATATGCACACTCAATCTGCTGGTTAATTTTATCTCTTAAATATTTTATTATTAACTTTTAAGGGTACAACATACTGCCTTGTTTGGGATACTATGATAAAGTATCAGACTTGGTGGCTTGAAGAGAAATTTATTTCTCTTCATTTCAGCAGTCAAGAGAATCTAGCATCAGGATCCCAGCACAGTCAGTTCTGGAGAAAGGTTTTCCTCCAGGTACACTGACAGCCTTTTTCTTCATGTATTTTCAGCATGATATAGAACAAAGGCTGACTCTCTGGCCTCTTCTTAGAGGGAAGTTAATGCCATTCATGAGGCCAACATACACATCTTTTGAGGAAGAGACATCATTCTGTACCACACGACTAACCATGCTCTGAGAGCACAATGGGTTACTGTGGTGAACATGCTGCATGGGACACAGTCTCTGACAGATGCTATTCCTATTCACGACTGAATGTTTAGGAAACTGGCAGCCTCTGGTTGGTATCTGGAAGTCAAAGCATCATAAAGAAGTTTATTTAGCTCAGAAAAAACCCATGGCAATTTTTTGAGACTAAAATATCAATACTATTGTGGAAAGAATGTAGTATTTTTAGTTAATGAGCAGGCTGGTAGGTTAAAGATGGTTGCAGATTCTTTAATGCTCTTCCCTTTGAGAGGCAGGCCTAGCTCCCTACCTTGGGCACACTCTGGGTTTGTGACAGCTCTGACCAATAGAAGTGCTAATGGTCCCAGTTCAGTTCTCTGGTTAACTTTAAAGAACACTCACAGCAAAAAAAAAAAAAAAAAAAAAAAAAAAAATCAAATCAATCAATCAAACAAAAAACCATACACACCATACACAGCTACACAGCTTTTAATGTAGCACCTGAGATGGCTGTAGGTTCTTTAAAAACCTTCTCCTCGGCCGGGCGGTGGTGGCGCACGCCTTTAATCCCAGCACTCGGGAGGCAGAGGCAGGCGGATCTCTGTGAGTTCGAGACCAGCCTGGTCTACAAGAGCTAGTTCCAGGACAGGCTCCAAAACCACAGAGAAACCCTGTCTCGAAACCCCCCCCCCCCAAAAAAAAACAACAAAAAAAAAAAACCTTCTCCTCTCAGAGGTGAATCCTATTTCCTTCACATTGGAACCTCCGGGTCATCAGAGAATAAAATCATATAAGCTATGAAAAACAGGTGCTGGAGAGACTGCTCGACTGTTAAGAGCACTGGGTGTTTTCCAAAGGACCCAAGTGCAATTCCCAGCACCCACATGCTGGCTCGCAATCATCTCAGACTTCAGCTGCATCATCATCTTCTGGCTTAGGCAGGCACCAGACATACAAACAGGTAAACCCCCATGTTCATAAAATAGTAAAAGCTTTTTTTTAAAGATAGGAAGAATACAGAATGTGACTGAGGTTCCTCAAAACAAAGAGAGGGGCCTGTCATACTCGGCTTTTGAGGTGTACCTTCCAAGATGGCAGAAAAATGATCAAGTCGCCTCACTGACAGCTGAGTATCACATTGCCTGGCCTCTTAGGCAAAGACAATGTACTAGGAAAATCACAATCCCAGTCTTGACTCAACCCTGATCCATAAAATAATGGGATAGAATGGCCAGTAACTAGGACGCATGGTCCTATATGCCCGTAGCTCTCACCAGCAGCGAGAGCGGGACTCTGCACTCTAGGAGACCAGCCCGACCCTCCTAACGCAACCCTTGAAAACTCTTGGTCTTCAAAACCAAAAACAGGGCGGGGGGGGGGGGGGAAGATAGTTACTAAAATTAGTGAGCCTAATTTGAGATCAATTACTCAAACATACACACAAATTTTGACAATTTCTTCAATGATTCAATACTAATTAAAATTTAGCTCATTTAAATGCATTACAACATACCTTCCACATTTCCTTCTGACGTTGGTGGAGGCACCTCACTAAACTTTGGGCTTTCTGTTTCAACAGAATCAACAGTACCTGATGGATTTATTTCTTTTGAAGTACATTCTGGTTTCTCTTCTCCAACAATTAAGGGCTTGTAGTTTTCGCCTTCAGGAAAAATCTCTGTAGAAGCAAAACAATGAAAAGTCTACTGCTCTCAAAAGGTTTTGAAGTTACTTGCAATGATATTTAGAGCAAAAAAAAAAAAAAAAAACCAAAAACAAACCCTAGATTGTTGCATCAGGTGAAGCTCTTTTACACACTAGAAACTAATGAGTTAAGAAAATGTGACAGCCAAATTCCATTTCATAATGACCTTCAAGGTGGATAACACAATTTGAATTCTTTTCCTTTTGGGGAAAAATTAATACACCTGTATCAGAATTGAATTTTAAAATTACTAACCAACTTTTAAAAACGATTTGTTTTTCATATAGCTTCATTTTTCACATGTAGTTTTTCATATGATATTTACTTCTAATTTGCTACAAACTCTGCACACTGGCTGTTTTCAGGAAAAGATTTATCATAAAACAACTGACTGTAGTCATTGACTCTCCTCATTCCTGTGTAACTGTTTACAAGCCAGTGCCCCAACTCCCCCAAATCAATGTTGTCATAGGTGGATGATTTTATATATACAATAAATAATCCTGCTAATATGTAGATCTCACAGTTCACTGAACTACCTCACTAACTCAGCTTTTTAATAAATCATAAATTAGAAACATTATAAATTATGGCTCCTTAAAAGTTCCAATTTTAGGAATTCCCATATCTAATTTTTAGTGGTGTTTTTTATTCATCTCCCTCTAATATAGCTTTTTTGAAGCAGGGTCTCACCATGTAGCCCATGCTGGCTTGGACTCCCTATGTAGATCATGCTGGCTTTGAACTCAGAGATCTGCCTGCCTCTGCTTCCCAAGTGCTGGGATTAAAGGCATGGACCATCATGCCTGGCACTATTCTAGCTCAGTAAAATTTAGAAAGGCAAAAAATATTAGTGTTGAGTCATCAGAAGATCTGGTAATAAAACATGAGCACAGGGACTAGGGAAATGGCTCAACAATTAAGAGCACTAGTTACCCACCCATAGAACTTAGCACCTATACAGCGATTCACAAGCATCTGTAACTCTAGTTTCAGATCTCCAGTGAATGTGATATTTTCTTCTAACCTCTGCAGACACCAGGTACCAAAAGATTCTCAGACATACAGTACATTCAGGCAAAACACCCACACACATAAAATAAAAATAAAATTTATATACTTAAGAGTAATACATATGATATACTACACGGTATATGTTAATATGGCCTTATAACTGTAGCCTACACAAGGTGACTTTAGAAAAACTATGATGTTTAATCTCGGTTGTCAACTGGACCTGGAATCAGCCAAAAGGCAGCTCACAGGGCACAGGTGTGAGATGGCCATCTTTGGAAGACTCTAGGTGTGTCGTGTAAGCCAATCTAATAAACCCTCTTGTAATAAAGATTCTCTCTAGAGGTCTGTCCGTCTATAGAACCCTGACCAAGACACCAGCTGAAAGATGCTTTAGAACTCAGGATGCAGCATAAAGGGGAACAGCAAAAGGAGTCCAAGGTATAAAGGCTCATGCAAATCAGCAAGTAATACTCAGTTTTGTACCACCAACATAATTAGCATGACGGACCTAAGGTTCAAAAGCATAGCTAAGGTAAAAGATTCAAGAATCATGAAAGAGGATCTAAATCTAACTGTTTTCCTAGTTTTATCTTTGTAATGATTTTTTTTCTAGTGGATAAGTATAAACAAACATAGCTGAGAAGTGGAGTGTAAAATCCAATGTGAAGTTCCCCAATTTTAGAATGGCTGTTCTAAAGAAGTTAGTTGAGATGTAGAGAGTTTAGACCTGGCTAATTTTTCTATGTGATGTTTTTTATTTGCAAGTTCTTTATAATAAATTTTTAATTTGAAAAGGTTGTTATAAGCTTTAAATCTGGAAACAATATTTCTGCAAAAACAGCAAGCCCAGTGCTTAAGGTTTCAAGCACTAATGCTGAAAAACCTTTGTTACAGAGCTATCAAAATCTAGAATTGCTGGCAAAAAAAAAAAGTGGTTAAAACAGTATAGATTAAAAAAACAACAGGAAAAAGACTTGGAACTTAAGGTTACTTGGTATCTGATAAGAAGGGTCAAGCAATACAACAGAAAAGAAAATTTCTGGAACAATGGAAATGGAATGCCCACTTAAAAAAACCATGGGGAGAATTTGTAGCCAGTCTGAGCTGAAGAGATGGAACCTGAGTCTGCGGGAAGAAAATGGCTCGCATCTGACATACAGAGAGAAGTCAGGTCTCACAAAACTGCACACGTCATTACTTGAGCATCAGTCTGCACAGCACATGCAAGGAAACGACTGCAGTCTCGAGAGGAGAGCACCCAACAGAAGTGAAGGAGGAAGACCTGGAGTTTACAAAGACCAGAACCAGTTCCTATCTCCACCAGCCTGTAGTTCACAAGCCATTAGGCAGATTGTTCAGAAAGGTTGTGGACTCAGGAAAGGGGAAGATTAGCCATAGACTAAACACTGCTTGATTCCACTTCACAGAACTTAAGAAGAAGGCCTAAAAGGATCAAGATACTCATAACTAACCAAAGTGTATCCCAGAACAAAGGTCAAGAGTAGTTATAGAAATATAAAACCTACATAAACTTCCACAAATTATAATTCAGTGTTTTGTCCCTAAGCAAAAATAATCAAGTATAATATGGTCTACCAAGCAAAATCAATGTCCAAATGACAGAGATGATGAGATTACTCACTGGGGAAGGACATTTGTAGTGATTATTATAGCTGAGCTCCTTTCGTTCAACTAAAGAAGACTGACCATGGGAAGGACAAAATAAGGGAAGCTGGGCTAGTGTGCAGCTCAGTTGCAGAGTACTTGCCCAGCATGAAGAGACTCTGGACTAGAACCTCCTCTACCAAAAGGAGGAGGGAAAAAAAAGATTGGTGCTGGACTTGTAGGAGAGAAGTCCAAAAGAATACAGAAAAAAAATAATGGCAAAGAATTTCGCAATACAAGTGACAGTTATGACTCACAAGTCCAAGAACACTAGCAAAAGGATGTGATAACAAGGAGTGTCACCACCAAGCTCACTGAAACCAGGGCTTTGAGAAAAAGCCAGAGCAGCAGCCAGAGGACAATGACATACTGCATCCAGAGGAACCGCTGAGACTGACAGTTACAGATGACTTCCCGCTGCGAGCAGTGGAGAAATATTGTTAAAGTAGAATAGAAAAAGTATCAGCTAATTCCATAGCTCTTAACAAATATTTGCTGAAGGCAGGCATAGTAAATTTTTACTTGACATATACAAGTTGAAGGAACCGATCATTAGTGATATTAAAGCATAGCAATTCTTAAAAAGAAGCCAACACGCAGAGGAAACAGAGCCAGACGGTAGAGAGCACTAAAAAATGTAAACACAAAGCAGACACATAGGACCGTTTCACTTACTGCTTACTTGTCCCTAAGAACTAATAACTAGATTATGAATATATATATATAGCAAAAATATAAGCAAAGCAATTACCTCACCCATCCCAATCCTAGCACAAAGGTAGGAAGGAAGAAAGTGCAAGACGGTTATAATGCTGCTTGCTATAGGTTAAGCACTGAAGTGATTTGAAAATAGAGTTCATAAAAGTATATACTGTTGACTCTAAATCAAATAGTGAGTTATCAGAGTAATGAACTCTAAGAAAGCAAGAGGAAATAGAGAAAAAAATCACAGATAAAGCAAGGTGGTACAGTTAAATTGTGTAGAATGCAAATAGTATAAAAGTATTAGGTGTTAGGAGTGGACTGAAAAAGCAAACCCACACTAAATGTAAATGTATAAACAGTTTGAGTGCGGGAAAGGGATAGATATCTCAATCTAACATTGAGCAAAAGAATATAAAAAATGACTATACCAATAAAACATTCTTTAAAAGAGTAGGTTGGCGCACACCTTTAATCCCAGCACTCAAGAGGCAGACACAGGTGGATCTCTGTAAGTTCAAGGCCAGCCTAGTCTATAAGAGCTAGGTCCAGAACAAGCCCCAAAGCTACAGAGAAACCCTGACTCAAAAAACCAAAAACCAAAACCAAAACAAAATGAAAAAATCTTTAAAAGAAAAAATTAAAGCTCACAATACAGATGCCTCTCAAAAAGCATATGTCAAAGAAGCCAGAAACAAAAGAACACAAAACTTATATGGCTGGCTTCATGGCATTCTAGAAACAGAATAACTAATCTAAGGTGGGGAAATTTCAGACAAAGAGTCTCTGGGAGACAAAAGTCAAAGTCTGATTGAGGCAGGGCTGTGACACTTCTTGGGGTGATGGTAATGTGCTATCTATTATTAGTAATTAACGTTAAATACGTCCACGTATTTGCTGGAACTCAGCAAACGTACAAATCATTATCCTTAAAATAACATAAAAGGAGAAAAACTAAATAAATACTGAATTCTGATGGTGACTATATGCTGTGAAGTACAGGAAAATATACCAATGTCTGCGGTTGACTCTGAGTTATGTCAGAAATAAGACTGATGAGTACAGGATAGATACAATGTACAGCACTAATGGTAGAAGGTAAATGGATGATTTATAACACCTACTGCAAAATTATTAAATTCTTCTACATGTTTGAAATTTCTCATAATGAAATTCTAGGAATTTAGATATAACACAATGAGATATACAAACATAAAGAGAATTTTAATGTAGTAGTAGTATAAGGTCCATAAAATATACTTAAAAATAAAATCTAGAACAATGCAAATAAAACTGCATATAACCAATAATGCAATATAAAGGGAGAAGTATATATGAACACGCCCATTCACACATATATGGATATATGTGCATATATGTGTATATACATACACGTGTATACATTAAATAAATATATCTTTATTTAATCTATATATACACACAAACATTTATAAGCACATATATCTGAATGTACTCAGAAAGATAAACAAGCTAATGTCAGCAAGTACCTGGTAACAGGAAGGATTGCCCTTCATGTTTTAGGAAACTACTGTTCCAGGCCTAAGGAAGAAGCAGAACTGATCACCCAG